AGACCGAGAGGATGTCGCTCGCGACCGGGAAATGGCGAGATGGTTCGGGGCACACGTTGTTCTGAGACCGCCGTAAGCAAGCTGGATGGTCGACTTGCATTGCGGGCGGAAGAGCTGGGGATCGGCGATCTCGAGCTAGCTGAGGCTCTGCCCAGGCAGAGTGTGCCAGGACCTTCCATTGTCTACGCAGAGTCTTGATCCCTTTTTGGAAGCTTCATCATAGTCAAGTATCGTTGGTTACTACAGTCCGATCACGTCCGAGGCCTGGTTCTAGATGCCATAGACACGAAAGCATAATCATCTGTATTTAATGTTTGGTGTTCCCTAAGAACCGTCTAGTCACCTCCTGACCACTCTTACTGCCTGGCCTTGTACATCTCCTTTAGTGTAGTTCGGATTTGTATAAGGAGGTCATCCACCTGTTCCATGTTCCCAACAGTAATCCTCAAGCTTCCAGAACAGCCAATCTGCTTGCTACGATCCCGCACAAGAATAGGTCCTCTAGTAGCCAAGGAATCCTTGAGAGCTGTTGCAGTGGCATTATCTGGTACACCACTCTGGTCCGCAGGCTTGTCAAGAAACTGGGCCAGTACAAAGTTTGTATGAAAGTCACCAAGAAATCTGCCGAAGCCGGGAATCTTGGGAAGCTCTTGCAAGAGTCGATCTCGTTGCTGAACCATCATGGTTCGATTCTCTTCCATGACACAGAGTCCATCTGGGGAGAGTGCAGCACTAGCTAGAGCTACTGTTGGCGCAGACATGTTGTACGGTCCACGAACATTGTTCATCAGACGAGCAATTTGAGGCTGAGAGTAAGATATGCCCAGTCGAATTGCTGCCAAGCCAAAAGCTTTGCTCATGGTGTGCGCAACGATGAGGTTGTGCCAAGTGTTCACCTCAGTGACAAAACTAGACCCTTCCGGTGCGAAGTCAATGTACGCTTCGTCAACGACAACGACACCATTCCATGTCGGATGCTCCAGGACCTTGACGATATCAGATCGTTCGAGAAGGTTACCAGCTGGATTTCCAGGCGAGCAGATGAATACCACCTTGATCGTAGGGTCTGCTGATAGAACCTCGTTGATGGCATCAGGCCTCAATGTAAAGCCATTGTCAACGTCAAGATTGACCTTCACGATGCCCACGTCGTTGACATGAGCACTGACTTCGTACATGCCATAAGTAGGGGGGCAAATGAGAATCTTGTCTTTGCCGGGAGTACAAAAGACGCGGATGATGATGTCGATGGACTCATCGCCTCCCACAGTGAGGCAGACGTTCTGTACAGTCAGAGGTTTCGCGCCTTCAACTTGGCGAAAGTCGCAGAACTTCTGCCTCAGCTGCATCGAATGGCTTGTATGATTGTCAGATTATGATTTGAGTATCGTGGTTGACACTTACGCGTCGGGATAGCGATGCAACTGTAACCCTTTCGGGTCGACAGTTGGCTGCTCACTGCCAGCAGCCTTGTTTGCGCCCGTCGGGTTGAGAGTGGCAAACTCTCCCTTGCTTCCGTTGGATTTTGAGCCAGATCTATTGAAATCAATGCTCGGTCCAAATGCATTCTCGTTGGCATCAAGAAGAGTGATGTCTGCACCAGGCGGATAATCGCTACAATTGTTTAGTACCTTTCAGTGAAATGAGATATCAGGGGGTCAAATACTCTCTCTCACTGGTGTAGGGCTCCAAAGCGAGAATGTTGGGCCGCGCACACTTTGTGATGTCAAATGGGCTGTTTCCTCGCATCTTGGGAGTGAGTGTGTGACCTTTTCGGAATATGATGGGCAGTAAAAGTATAGAATCACTTGTGAGCGAAGGAGCGGGTATGTAGTAACCCAAAGCCTTAAGGGGAGTTGGCCAGGTACAGAAATCAGGCTCTGGCTTCTTACCGCATACTGGCGCCCAGGCCAGATCTGTAAGAAGTGGCGTATTGGTGACACACAGGTGATTGACACTTTGTGCAGGTCGGAAGTCGGGGCTGAAAGACGGCGTCGCAATACAGTGCTACTTCATTCTGCCTTATGAAAGGACCAGAGGTAGGCTGTATGCGCTGTGGTATTACAATCTCAGAGCATAGACCTCTGCGCGACTGTCCAGAAGTACCCCGAGAGCGTGGTTTCAAAAAAAAAAGTAACTAGGTAGTACTTTAAAAGCAAGTGACATTTGGTTCGTTTTTCTGGTCCCTCTGATTGAAAGCGTCAAGTCTGTCTGCTCACCGATGCTAGGGGATGAGCCGCCATCTACAACGCATAATACACCGCTAGACTCGAGAGAAAAGATTGACCTCATTTCTTCCGCAGAGCCTCATCTCCCTGGCGTACCCAATCGTACGGGACCTTGACTTCTCATGCTATACCCTGTTCATTGTTACAAGCCGTGTTATGCATGTTTCTGGCTGCAGCCGGTGTGATAGAGACAATGTATTGCTGTGGCACATCTAACATGAGCTGACCAATACCATTGCTGGAGAACGGATCAGGCTCGGAATGTCTTGTATGGCAAAGTGAGGGGAAGCGATGGTGTGCAACCATTTTATGCTGTACTACCCCAGCCTTTAGATAAATCCTGGATAACAAGGCATAATGTGGCTGGGTGATTTAGGTAAAACCAGGAAGTCGAACTTGTATTGGTCTCTGGGATCGCTTTTATGTGCTGAGCCAAGCCAGAACCTCGGGACCCCCAACTAAGGCATGATGACTGCAGTATATGACTGATAATTTCTATGGTCTTATCTTTGGGCCCATCATGTGATTCCTCACGTTACTCAACATGATTTGCAGGTAAAGTTAAGGTTTGCTGTACAACATATCCGAAGAGCAACGATGCATCAAGGTTGAATCGACAGCGCGTCAATAATAGACTTGATTAATATTTCAATCAAAATCTCATTCAAAAGATTGAAGTGAAATATAGCTTTATTGTGAGATGGGAAAATAGCGCTTCTTCAGAGTTTGTTGGGCATTCAAACCCAGGCAAGACTCCTAAACGCGAGAATAATAATATGTTTTATGGTTCTTTTTGCGATAAATCCCACATTCCGAAAATACTACGGACTTTGGACAGTGACCAGTAGCCTTTTGGCATGGAGCCACGTTAGACCTTGATACTACAACCACCTCCTCTAAGCTCAAGGTTGAATGGCATATCAAGCTTCAGGCTATATCAAAGCAGCTGCGGAGCCTTCACTTCTTCCTGAGGGTGAACTCTATAGCAAGAGTTTTAGTGTTGAAATGACTTTTTCCGAGCCGTATTTATAAGGCCTATTCATCTTCTTTCCAGACAATCCGACGTGACTCTTCATCACACAGATTGCGCCCTTGAGTCTTCCACCATGCCACCACGTATTCCTACAAGTCTGAGAACCCTTGTAGCCACTACAAATGGAACGCGGTGGGCGACGAACTCCAGCTTCCATCCCAAATCACCGTCGAGTCCCAGCTCATCTCCCCGGCCCAAGACAGCATCTATTAGACTCTATGAGAAGCTAAAGAGATATAAAGAACTAGAACGAAAGTATGAGGAGCAACGACAGTTTATGAAAGAATCGAACGCAAAGGGGACAAATCACTCATTGGAGGGCATTGAATTTTGCATAACTGTCACGAAATGGCTTCGCGAACAAGCGCAGGAAGAGTGTAAGAGTCACCCATACCCTGTTGAAAAATATTGACTCTTTCAGACGATAACCTGTCTTTTCCTGTTCGGAGGCTACTAGAGTTCCGCCGCTTCACTGGGGACTATGCCTCCCGGTGGCTTGGGGCAAAGAGTGACGAGTGAGCACAGGTTGTTCGACAAGTATTTCCTTTTTTCTGGTAATGACTTTTCCTACGCGATGGCTAGTAATGTTAAATCGAAGCAAGCTTTCGGGTTTCCTATTCCACCGCACGCCGCGAAAGACTCTCAAACTCTGAACCCCCTTGTCGGTGACTCATTTCCCACATGCGAAAGCTTATCTTTTGTTCTCAACTCATGGTATACCGCCTAAGTTGTTAGCTAGATATGCTATTTGCAGTTGATACTTGTGGCTGAGAGCTTAAATCATCAGAGAGAACTTTTTAAGAATTAGCCCTCCATCCGGTAGAGCATTTGAGGGAGATGTAAACTAGTATAAATACCCCCTCTCCGCTAGCTTGCCTGGCCGCTGTATCCCGAGCGTGGCTGACTGACGTCGAGCGATACAATTTTACTCGCATTAAAATAACTCCCTCACGCCTGATAGATTTTCATTCCATGATCCGTCGCAATAAGGCTCTCGTACGCTATATTTGGTTCTGCTTAGAACTAGATGGCTATGATTGCACTCAGTGTGCGCCTAGGGGTGATGTGCTCACAACCGAAGAGGTGGGAGAGGCATTGAATGTTAGCGACACAGAACACTATTCTATTACCACGGCCTTCCAGGATTTATTCCCGATTCTCAGTCAATTGGAACAAGACAGCGAATTAATGCCTGACATTAGCATTTACTCCCCCAGTGACGCTCGACATTGGTTTCCCTACCTTACCTTTGTGCCTGATATCCCTTCCAATAGACTAGAGGGTAGTGGCCTAGGGCTGACCACAATAAACCAAAGCTATCATGATCCTCCTCACGGCTGGGTTAATGATTTCAGACACTCGGCTCCGCCTCCGGCAGCGGTCAATAAAGCTTTCCATTTTATTATGGAACATGAATCGCTTCATAGTGACCAGGCAGAGTTCGAATGATGGAATCAGCTCCCTTCAGTCTCCTCAGTTACTAGTATACTTCTCCGGCAACAGAACCGCCGTAGATGGGAGCCAATAGCACTGGCTCCTATGTTGGCCCGCTTCCCCCGACTCCAGGAAATCCATTATGAGCCCTGGAGGAGATGGGACATTTTCCAGCGCACTACAGATAAGGGTAAGTTTTGTGTACTTCATTCCTTAATAGTTGTGTATAATTATTTGTTATAACACATGGCTTACCACTTAAATTTATTGTCTAGGATATCTATCTCTTTTTGAGTCGATCCAGCATGGCCATCCTCTTCTTAAAAGGTTGGTAGACTTTACGAACTTTAACCAACAGTATCCAGTATTTATGCAACGATTTCTCGATGGGGAGGATTTGGCCGGCTGTGAGAGTATTCGTAATCCAGTCCCAGCTGTTGGCCGAATGATTGCGCTCACCAGCCTGTCACTAGAGCATCTCGCCGCTTCTTTTATTATAGATGCTAGTCATTTCTTCGCCATTGACCCCTCTTGGGAGTGGCCTAACCTAACCTCGCTGGTATTGACTTGCCGACTCCTGAAGCTAGAAGATGATTCCACCAAGATCGACGCTCTACTACAGGCTGCAGCAGCGGCAGCCCTGAAGATGCCACGGCTAGAAACCATGGAGATCTGGAACGGACGGAAAGGATTGGCAGCGCTCTTCCAGTATCGCATGATCCGCGGTTCACGGCAAGCCAGGATCCTTTGGAGGGGAACATGGAAACATCCTATAAGACCATCTGTCCTTCAGGCTTGGGAAGCCGTCGGAAATCTCCATGCCATTTGGAGACTCGATGTGGTACAGGAACAGGTGGATAAAGCAGCCATCCAGTCACATGGCGATGCCTTGCACCACCTAATGCTCTCTGGCCAAGCCATTCGGTCTGTCTCGTTGCAGCAAATCCAGAGAGAACAAAAGTTTCTAGAGGGCGTGGAAGTTGTGTCATGAGCGGTTCCTTAAAGAAAATGACAGGGAATTGCCGATTGGAGATAAGGGGATCGCCATTGTTGTACGCTTTGTCCCAACTGGCCCGACCCATCTGATTGTCGCAGTTGTCACAAGCTGGGAATCACTCCTAGAGTCCATACAACTCTAGGTCTTCAAGCTGAAAAGCTAAGACCGCAGAACAGCTCTTGGACATATGTCAGTAGGCTAGTTGTATCTGGTTCGGGACAGGTGTAACTAGGTATTCGTAGTCAGACTGGGAGGATCGAGCTATTCTATTGCAGCATCAAATAATCTAAGTTTCTATATGCTTCCTAAATGTCTGTCCGACTTTGAGTACCGTCTCAATATGTTGTAAACTCAACTTGACCTCCTCAAATCTCGCAAGAGTCCTCGCTGTGTTGAGAGCATTGGACATCTCACGTCCGTTAAGCTTATGATGTATCAGGTCTTCAGCTGCCTGACTACTCAGTTCCTTCCCACCGATCTCTGTCTCATCGACTGGGACAGCTTCGAGGTTCTGTTTCCAGATCTGGCGGCGAACTTCTGCCTCGGGAGGACCGAATGAAAGTGACAGGTGGATGCGGGACTTCATCGCAGCGTCTATACTGCTGAGGCGGCTTGTCGTCAGAAAGACAATTCCTGAAAAATATTCGAGGTGTTTTAGAAATACGGCCACAAGTGCATTGCGAGTAGTACTGTTGGAAGTCAAGTCTCGGCTCTCGAGAAAGACGTCTGCTTCGTCAAATAGGATGATTGCGTTCCAGGTTGTAGCGTATTGTAGGATCTGTTTAAGCCTGTACTCAAAGGCATATGCCCTTCATTTACCAGCGGTTAGTACACACGCTCTTCCCTTGGTCCCCGAAAGAACACTACTCACCTATCATATCTGTTTAGCTCGCTCATGCTTGTGGACAGCAGCGCCTTTTTGGACATCTCAGCTGCTGTTTCTGCAGAGAGCGTTTTACCTGAACCAGGAGTTCCATGCCTAAAGGTCGAGTCAATTTCAACCATTCTACGAAGTCGCAGGAAGGACTTACAGAAGGACCACCAATCCTTTACCCTTTTGTTCTGACAGGCTCCTGACTCTCTCTGGATGTTTGTGTGACATGACGAGGGCTTTCAAGACCTGTTTCTGTTCCTGATCAAGGATCAGTGATGACCACGCATTCTCCTTCCATGCCACATCCCTCAGATTATCGACCAGATAGCGACACCACTCCTTTCGGCCAGTAGAGTACCCTAAGGCATATGGCGGGCAGAGAAAAAGCTCCGGATCATCAACCTCTTCAATCATCGTAACGTGGCTATAGTTGTCTTCTTCGAAAGTCTTGCGATCGAGCACGACACGTCCGGTTTCCTGTTCTCGTTAGTGTTTTCCTGGAAGCTACATGAATACTCACTGTGAATGGCAGCCAGATAGGCGGATAGTCTGCCATGTTGGGATCAAAAAAGTCGAGGGGAGGTTCTTTCAGCCACTCTGCGATGCCATCATAGTCCTTGGTCAATATCCCACGATTGGTGATGAACTTCTTGCCCCGCTCAAGAAGCTCCGTCTCCAGGTCCGGCCGGGCCCCGGTCACAGAACTTTCGTGGATAAACTGGAAGTCTTTTGATCTTGGCTGGATGGTCTGACGCAAAGTAATCGCTCTAGAAGATGTTGGTAGATCGTTGGGCTTCGCCAATCGCGTCATCGTTGGCGTCGCAGTATTTCATATGAATCGTTACATACGGTCCGCGGTTTCGGCTTGTCCCATAAGACACTTTTTCCACGCGTGATAACCATGACTTTCCCAGAACTTCGCTGACAACAAGGTCTCCGGGACGGTAGATTACCCATGCCTGCTTAAAGGTGATCATTTGCTTCTGAAGCATATGTTGGAGGGTGCGTCTCTCAGGGCCCATTTCTTCTTCCATGAAACGGAAGAGTAAGTTGAGATGTTGCCGCATCCGAGGAGAATCGGCTTCATCTCGGTAGGCTTCGAGGGGGTCCCAGTAGTGCAGAAGGATCTGAAATGGGCTCTCAAGCTTGAAAGAGCTCTTGAAGTCTGATGCGACCGTCGGATAAGACCCGATGACATCTTGGAATGCTTTGTGAATCAGTGGCGAGTTGATGCATACTGTAGTTGACTCGACTTCTCGCTTCTCTGAAAATCGTCTTCTGACAATCAAGGCATACGGACTATCCTCGTCGTCTTCAGAGTTCTTCGTTGGCTCAGAGTCCTGAAGCTGTTCTTTGCATTGGTCTCTGCCATCTTTGTTCTTAGTATGGTGATAAACTTTGGACTCGCAAATCGATTCTTGGGAGGCTGGCTCAGTGCCATTCTCATGACTGGGGTGCAGTTGATCGGAAGTCATCTTGTGGTCATGAAGAGTGAAGAGAGTGTTGTGTGACAAGAAGTCGACTCTATTATGGCTCGCGACTGAAATTGTGGTGTGAACTTGGCAATGGGGTTTTGTTTCAGTTTCATCTTCAACAGAGATAACGGGTCGAGATCTGAGTCCGGCAACCACTTCGGTCAGCCTGCATGAATAGCGCCAGCACCTCAGATGAACATTGTATACGTGGCGCAGCTACTACAGGTAAAAGGCCCAGAAGTAAGATTATCTGTAAGACCAACGGCACCGCATTGAATCACGCGCAGGAATCAGACCATATCATTGCGAAACATCCTTGACAAGCTGAAAAGAACTTCGTAAAGATGACCAATCGAGGCCTTGATGGAAAACAAAAAAGGTCCTGGAGCTTTCAGGATAAATCCGCGATGTTTCTTGATCAATTGACCCCGGCCAGCTGAAAGATAAGTATCTATAGTAACTTAAGGTCAGGGGTGAGGGTGAGGGAGCGGGGTTGTCATTTTGAATCCCACATTCCGCGCAGAATGCAACACTCCTGCCTAACCTAAACAACCATCCTTCACGAAGAGGGAGCTTTCTCCTTCTTTCCTCGGCATCCTTCGTGAGAAAAAGTGGTCAAGTCAGGAAAAAGCGTGGGTAAACATGTCAACAGCCTCTTTCTCCAGAACATCATCTTTCAACACCACCGAAAATGGAAATTTGTTTAACATTCTCTGCGAAACAGCAATCAAAGAATTTCTCGAAGATCCCGAGACATTAAAACTCGCCGACAACCCCTTCGTACAATACGTGAGCCACAGAAAGGAGCAGATTGAGATATGCAGAGACGAGGAGCACAACGACCCCATCGAAGAGACGCAACAATGCATTCGTGAGGTCGAAAAAAAATGGACAGCAAGCAAGGCTCATCGCCTACGGGAAAAGATTAGCCCATTCGTCGAAAGCATCACTGCCCTAACCAAATCATGCGAAAATGTTCTTCAACCTGCACCTTTTGGCGTCGCAATCGCTGTTTCTGGCTTCCGAATCATCTTGGAACTTGCTACCAAAGCTCATGGCGCCGTGGAAGATATACTCAATGTTCTCGAGGAGATTTCTCCGCTCTTAGACTGCTACAAGATGACTGCGATGTCACAGCAGAGCTCTCCACAGATATCCAAGGCCATTAAGAAGTCATACAAGAACATTCTGCAGTTTTGGACCTACTCAGCCAAAGTATTGTCCAAGAGCTATACGAGAGTCACTTTATCTTCAGCGATTAGACCCTTGAAGCAGGAAATACAGACTTTCCGGGACAAATTCCGCGAAGACTCCAAACAGGTCAGCCAACTGCTCATTGCATGTATGGCAATTGAAAGAGCTAGGGAGAAGCAAGAAAGAACGAGAGATGAAATCCTAAGGTGGATAAGAGGTGGCGAAAAAGCCGAGTCATTTGATGCAGACAAGGACTTGGAATTAAGGAACATGAGTCGCACAGACGGCACATGCACGTGGATATTTGAGAGACAAGAGTTCAAAGATTGGAGAGACGCCAAGAAGAATTCTGTTCTTTGGTACAACGGGCCTCCAGGCTCAGGTAAAAGTGTTTTGGCATCCGCGATCATCAACCACTTACAAGAACAGCCAGAGTCAGAAGCTGTTCACTTCTTCTATTCTTTCAGAGCAGCGTCCAAGCGACAAGAGACTTGTGGGCTACGATCTATCGCTCTCCAGCTTCTGAGTAAGCTGGACGTGGCGTCGAACCCTTTGAAGGCCGAGTACGAACGGGCAAAGAAGACTTGCAAGCACGAGCTGACTAATAACGACGGAGAAGTAATGGTCAAACCTCTCCGTGCATTATTGAATCATAGTCACTTTCCCCAAGTTTATGTGGTTTTAGATGGGTTGGACGAGTGCTCAGTTCGAACTCACGGTGATCCTTTGTTCCACAGCTTGCAGCAGCTTCTCAACCTGGATACACTTGGGACAGTCAAATGGTTTCTTACTAGCAGGGATGTTCCTGAGCTACAATCCGTCAAAGACGCTTTCAAAGCTGTCGAAATTAGGCCAAACCTCACAGACACTTCCAAAGACATCCGTGCCTTTCTCGACGCCCAGAGGATCTGCCCGCTTCACGATGAGCCCTGGTTTGATACAGACGAACACAACTTTCTCTATGCAGCGTTGATCTGTGAGATTGCAAAGAATAAGGCTTATAGAACTAAACAAGGAACCATTGATGCCCTGCAATCCTTCCCTAGAGGTTTGGAGGACTGCTATGTCAAGTCGTTAGCCAGAATTGCAGGACTTCCCTACCACAAACAGGATCTGGCCAAGTAAGTTCAATACCTTTTGATTCGTGAGACTCAGTGCCTATACGATGATCAATAGTATTGATGAACTGTCACAGGCGAACCTTTCGAATCCTCACATTGTCGGAAAAGGAACTTACGCTGCTGGAGCTTATTGACGCCCTCAACCCTTATACCGATCCTGCCAACGATGCCATCAAGCCAAAGGAAGATGCACTTCACGTTTACGATAGAGTAAAGGATGTCTGCAGCCCTTTGATCACAATGGAAGACATGAATGGCTCTCAGAAGATATCACTGTGCCACAAATCAGTCAAGGACTTTTTTATCGACCCAAAGAACAAGAACAGGATTGAAGAGTACCTGCCAGACTTCTTTATCGATGAGAGCAAAGCGTTGGAGGAGATGGGAGTCAGCTGAATCGAGTATCTGAGCAAGGAACGATACCAAGATCCCTATAACCTGAAAGCGTTGGTCACAAAGTCGGAGTCATCGTACAGCAATGCTTTCCTTCGCTACGCCGCTGTCTTTTGGCATATGCATATGCAAGACATTACTCCAAGCTCCGAGACGCTGAAGATTGTTGAAGACTTCCTCAAGAGCCCTGCATTTTGGACTTGTATCTACGTACAAAGTCACGCAGCTCCTCATCTTTTTGCGCGGTACAAGCGGGAGACAAGTAATGATTATAAGATGATCCTAGGTACAATACCAAACGCGGCACTTCAATTTGGACTTCCCCTTCCGCCGTGGAAAAAGGATTCCTCGTCCGCAGATTATTTGTCACTGGACCGCTCGTTTTGTTCCTTTGTTCTAGACTGGGGCGAGCTTCTTACTAAGAATCCTGATCAACTTCATCATGCAGTTCCTCTCAGTCTTTACAAGCCCAGCTGTCATCTCAAAGCTCCCAACAGACTCCAAAAAGTTCACATCAAATATGTTGCCAAGTTACTTCAGTCAACAAACGAGATGCGTGTATTGGAGTCGTCGTTCTCTTCTACGGGCAAGAAACGTGGTAAAACACTCCACCTTCGAATCATTCGCGAGGACAGATTGACGCCTCATCGCCGTGTTAAAGTAAACCAAGTGGATGTATTCTCTCGATCGAAGTCTGATCAGAATAGTGAGGCCATCTTTGACTCCCTGGCCCCTGACAGCGAATGGATCACCACAATTGCTCGGGATAGCAAGAGGGGCGAGTCGTTTCTTCAGAGCTGGAAAGTGAACAGTCGTGATTTGAGTATTACTCGCTGCCTTTTGGATGGCGGATCGGGTAACAGAGTCGATCAGGCCCCTCCGCAAGTCTACAGAGACCTCGACTTGGGTCTGGAAGGCAAAGGACAATGGAATCTCGTACAGCTCGATGTCACTACACAGCCGACTCATAAAGACTCCGATTCAACGACTCGACTATTCCATTTCCGCAAGGGGCAATGCCTGGCACATCACCATGACAGGGGAAAGTCGCCCAACAATGTAATAATCAGCAACTCAGATTCCCAAGACAGTAGTTCAGACTCTGATGGTGACTCTGGCTGGAGTTCGGACTCTGATGATGGATCTGATTCACACGATACGCATAGTATCAAGGGGGATAGAAATGCAAGCCAGGAAATTTCAGATGATCTGCATGGAGAACGCAAAGAGCCAATGACAGAATGTCTTATCATGGCAAATGACTTTGGCAGACCAGTTTGGCGACCAATAAGGACCGACCGCTTATCGTGGTCTAGAATAATAGCCACTCGTCATTCAACATTGCCTATTGTAGCTGTCTCTTCTAAGTCTGGTGGAGTAGACCTACTCAACGACGAAACTGGCTCCAGCACAAGTTTGGAGATTGCTGAAGAGGGAAAAGACCAAGGAGCAAAGCCGATGGCAAGGTCACGAGGTAAAGGAACCACCTACTCATCGTATGAATGATGTTGATGATTCATGCTGACGTTCGATTAGAGATGCAATTCTCGCCGTGCGGGAGTTTCCTCACGCTTTTATCCATCAGCCTCTACCAGAAGGATACCTTTGCGGAGTGTCAAGTTGTTCTGTCCTGCTACGGGTTTGTTCGAACTGCTTCTGGATGTAGCCTTCAAACTCACGAGAATGGCTCATTGGCAAGCTTGAGCTACAGATTCTTGGGCAAGGTAGACGAACTACCTCGACCGTACATCATGACAAACTGGACAGCTGAACACGTTGTCATGGTTCTACCTCCATTGACCTACAGTCCGAAGATCATCAGAATCTCGCTTTCACCGCCCACAGATCAGGCCAGCCTGCCAAAAGATCTTCCACCAAGTATATCGACACTCTCACATCCTGTGTTCTTCCCACAGTCGACTATCTTCCGTGAACCCCATATTATGTACGGCGACGGAGGCTCACCTGAGAAAGACAGCTACTTGTATCTCGTCCTGGACACGCCAGATCCATCATCGTCATGTACACAATCAACACTGCGCTGCAGACCTGGCCACTTCCGAGGATTGGAATGTCCTACAAGCTCGTGTGATGACAAGAAGAGAGGCGTCAACGGTCCAGCGGTAATGGGTTGGAAAATATCAGGTAGCGGCAAGGCACGAAAGGCTGACCAAGGTGAAGATTACGGAGGTTTCACAGAGGAACAGTTTGCATGGCGGGAGTGGAGTGATGAAGACGAGGTTTCGGAGGATGTCAAAGCCAGTAGATCAGCTACAGATGAGTATGAGTTGTTGCGCGGGGACTTTGTGGGGGAGACATACTCAGTACCTATCCGATCCGGGCTAAATTGGACCAAAGAGTGTGTTCTTAGTTGTTGAGCACATTTGGTATCAGACATTGGCATGTAATCATAATATTATCGATGATAGAGATCATGTTTGATGATAGTGTATAACACTAGTCTATTTTCGGTTGAGCTGCTATGAGCTTCTGCAAGTTCCGATCGCGCTTTGCCAGTGACTCTACTGTTGGTCGTCCATAAACCTGTTCCGTTTCCTTCGTGATCTTGTCCGTCCAGTCCCCATCATCAGTTCCTTGACCAGTTTTAGTTGCAGACGTCCCCTTGAGACTAATACCTCCGGCATCATCCCAGCAAGCTTCCATTGTATCGGCCAGATTGTGAAGAAATGCTCCGATTCCTCCAGTTCCACCAGCACTGTTGTATGTCTTGAAAGGTCCAGCTACCGCCCAGCGTGGTGCTATGCTGGCCTCAACGATAGTGTCAAGGTCTTCCAATGAGACAACGTCGTTTGAGACTAGATGACAAGCTTCACGGAATAGAGCGAATGCCAGACGGTTTCCAACGAAGCCTTGGGTCTCTTTGTTGATTCTGACAGGACGATGGCCGGAGCCGAGATTTTTGAAGTAGTCGATTGCGAATTGAGCTCGTTCTGGTTCCGTATGAGGCGAGGGGACGACTTCAATCAACGGCATTATATGAGGCTAGGACATTGTGTCAGAGGAATAGTTTGAGACGAAAGGTTAGTCGAACTCACAGGATTGAAAGGGTGAACCACGAGGACTCTGGTCTTGTCCTCTAGATCCTCCACCTGTCTCGATGCACTTATCCCAGACGTAGAGCTCCATAAGTGGGCATCCGGAGGTGCGTATTTCACGACTTCAGTCCAGTTCGACTTTTTGAACTCAACACTATCAGGTCCTTGCTCCTGGACGATTGTTGCCCCAGAGCAAACTTGCTCTATCGAAGAGCATACAAGCAGCCGACCGTCGGCAACGAGTTTCTCGACTGGAAGAATGGGCTGTGAAGTTTCCTTCTTTGTCGATTCGAGATACACCGGTAGGAGGCTTTCGATGTGCTCCTTCAAATCACTACGGACATCATACAGTCTGAGGTTGGCGTTTGAATAGCGTAGATGCAGCGCGGCGAATGAGAGGCCAATTGTGCCCAAGCCGATGAGGGCAATTGTTTCCTTCCTTTGAGTTTCAGGCATTTTACCAGGTTGTGCTATGGTGAATGAATGGACGGTTCAGAAATCAGAAGTCAATGGCGTGATGATAGCGCGAATTTTGAGGCTCAAGTGTCGGTAGAGAAGAGGGGAAACTGACCCGAGGCTAAAGTGAGTGATCACATTGGAGCATAATCGGCTGACAAACTATTCGTATTTCTTCAAACTAGTCTTCTATCTATATTTGAATTTCATTTATATCGTCATAAGTTCTTTTACAGAGCAACAACGATTTTCTTGGCCGAAACGCCCTTGGCAAGTGTGTTGATGCCCAGCTGAACAGCCTCCAAACCCTTACCAACAACCTCCGCTTCCGGAACAGCCTTGAACTTGCCCTGGTCCAAAGCAGCCGGTATATAATCCCCAAAGACAGCCTTGGCAACAGGGGTGTTGATGATACTAGTCGAAAGAATAGTCTTGGTCTCAACGCCCGCGACTTCAGACGAGACAGATCGTACGCAGATGAGTTTACGAAGACCATCGGCGTGAACGATTGCTTGACTTGCGTTGTTCATGCCATCTTCTGAACCGCTGGCGTCAAATGCACCAGCGAGCTTCTTGCCGGTGAGGAGAGTGGCGATGTCTTTGGTGACTTGGGGAGACTTGTATTCGAAGACGTGGTCTGCTCCAAGACTCTTGACGTATTCGTGGTTCTTGGCGGATGCGGTCGTGATGACTTCGTACCCAGCGGCTTTCGCAAGTTGAATTGCTGAACCGCCTACACTAGATGAGCCTCCCCAGATGAGAACCGTCTCCTCAGCAGGCTTAGGGGTAAGACTAGGATATCTCATCGCAAGCGTCACATCGCCGAAAAGCGACCACGCAGCCGTAGCAAGCGAAAGTGGCAAAACAGCAGCTTGTTCAAAGCTCAAACCGTCCGGAATTTTAGAAGCGCACTCAGCGCGAATAACCGTATATTCCTGGAACGCGCTGTGCGCATTATCCTTGGTAGCGAGTGAAGTCGCATAGCCCAGGACTCGATCACCGGGCTTGAAGGCGGTGACATCAGGACCTACGGCTTCAACGGTGCCGGCGACATCTTCACCGAGAATGACGGGGTATTGAGAGGGTTGGATAAAGATGCCGACGTATTGGTTGGCGATATCAACGGGGTTGATGGCAATGGCTGAGTTTTTGACGAGGATGTGGCCTGACGATGGTTCGGTGAGGGGGGCTTCCTTGACTTCGAGTGGTGACGTCTTTGCGGCGACCAGCCAAGCAGCGTTGTTGGAAGGCATATTGACAATTACTTTAATAATAAAAAAGTGTAATTGAGATAGATTTATCGTAAGGTAGAAAACAAGTATAAGTGTAGGTGCTTGCAGATGTGAAAACTTGGCTATGAGTAAAGACAGACTGACGTCGAATCTTGTTCGTCATTCCTGACAAAGAGACCCGTTAATCACGTCAATTCTCGTGTGGTTGGCTGGGCCTTGGTCCACGATCGGTTTAGCGGTGTCTAACAGAGTTTTTTGGGCCTCGGTACTTGCCGCGCTATTGTCTTATTCTGCCCAAGTCTAGTGGATACACGATCTTCGATCTTGGGTAGCTAGCTTCTGTTTGGTGTTAGTGCGGTTTTGGGACTTCAACTTTATCAATTGAAGTTGGGGGCTTCGAGGTTCTGGTGCTGGGCAGTTTGACTGAAATGAGTAAGCATACAAGTCTTTACTCTATTTCCTGTTTCAATACCAGGCTATTGCGTTGATAGGTAGTTGGCAGCGTAGAACAGCCTGGATATGAGATAGTGTTCAAAGCAGGCCGTCCAACCACCCAAGCAGTGAACCTGATCTCATTCAAATCTTCTCTTGGGATTATCAGGATATGGGTTTGTTGCCAATGCTTCTATATTATGATGGGCGAGCCATGTATATGTGAGGGCTTGCTGGTCTTGCGGTTTGTCTCCTCATCATGTGAGGACTCAACCAGCTACGCGCGCTATCGACTGGGTTATCGAAAGTATGCTTATTCAGCATGCCCTTGTGTATAATACCACTCTTCGTCATATCTACTACTCTTTTTCATCAGAAGCTCTAGCGCCTGAGCTTCGAAAGGAGACTTAGGCCTGTGACTGATAAGAATATACAGGGTTGCTATCTTTTTTACGCAACAGAACCTTCTTGAATAAAGACGGCTATGATGGTATATCACTATTTCTTCTAACTAATCAGTATCTCATCGAAGTCTTGACTTATATCTGGCATTTAGCCATGGCTTTTGTAGATTATCATGATCAACCAAGCATGACCCGTCAACTGCCATCAAGATGTTCCTACAACTTGGAAGGCCGCTTTACCTTTTTGACATTCCTGGGGAAGTCATGCATCACAAACTGGCAAGAAGCAGCAGCATTCATCTTCTCATTATCTCTCATCCTTTCCATCACAATCGCTTCGCCGGCGAACATGACGCTTATTTCCCCATTATGCCAACGCGGGAGGAAGGTAATCTCGCCTAGAGGAGGTGTTCGGCCAATATACGGCTCACGATACGCCTCGCATCTACCAAGAGCACCCCAATCCTCGGCTGCAGCTGCACCAAGACGCGTGTGATCCGTTGTAAGAGCGTCTAAGGGGCCATTTGGGACTATACCAGGGCTAAATGGATGCATCTGTGCCACTTCCAACATCTCGCGGAAGGTTTTCTCACTCCAGTTATCGTTACTATTGCGAATCTTGGTAGCTACCTTGGCTACAGATCGAGGGGAACAGGCATGAAATCCCTTGGTTGTTGCGGTGACTGGGAATAGATCCACACATGTTGGCAGGTAGTTGAGAGGTAATGGAGGTGTAAGACGAGGCCGAACACTCCCCACGTAAACGATACGTGTCGCTTCAGGCACAGTTTCTGGACCAGACTGATCGGGGGCCCATTTTGCTTCGAAGAAACGCTGCCAGGTAAATGCAGTTAAGCAATCAATTGCCGACAGCCTTGTCTTTCCGGTTGACCCTTTCTTAGCCATGAAATCAAGAATCTGCATTGACGATTTGGGGAACGTCCATACACTAGCTGATGGCTGGCGGAGTGTAGCTTCATCAGAAGACGCGAGATCATAATCTGTCAGACGCGCCCTTGTAAAGAGATTTTCCAATGTCGAAGCCATACTCTCCGGGTTCCGAGGATCTAGCATTGTCCAATGCGGAAGATTTGCTGCCCGAGCCGCCACTTTATCAAGATCATGTTCGATCTGTGCGCTCGCCTTCATTGGCGACCGATCAACCAGATGTGGCGCCACTTGCTTCGGCAGTGGAGGCTCTGGCTCATTTCTCATCCGAGCATTGGAAACAACTTGCGTATGGGTAGCCCAGGACTTGATACAGTCGATGAATTGAACCAGATCGCATACTGCGTGGGCGATAGAGACTGTTAGAACGATCCCACCTCTGATAACATTGAATCGGGTGATGAGAACAGGGTCACCAGTTTGGACGCTTGGAAAATTCTCAGGGCAAAGTTTGCTTAGCCCGTCTTTATTGCCATCGGCAAACGGGAAGCCAAAACTTCTGAACTCGTCATACGACGGCATTTCCTTCTCATTCCGATGGTCGTAGTATCCAAGGTTGGCGCCGGCATAAGGTGCCGGAGCGATTTCAATCGAATTTCTGCCTGTGGCATCTTTGACAATTTTCCCGCAGAGATGAGGGTGCTGATACAAGTAACGCGCGAGACCACGTTTGCAATCGTTATAAAGGTCCAAGGGGCTTACGCCCGGCTTGAGGGGGAAGAATAGTGTTGGGGAAGGGTAAACAGGTGCTGTCAAACTATCCATAGCAGATAGTTTGATAAGAGCAGGGCTCACTGGGCCTGTTGGTTCGACCCAGGAGGTATCCAGCAGTTGCTGATTCATTGTTATCTCCATGTTGTTTTAGAGTGAAAGTTTGGGAATTGTTTTCGCAGTTGTGCGTTTGTCGAATTTAGAACCAGCTTCTGATACGTAACTATGTTATAGCGCCTTTTCTTTTCGACGTGTTGTCCTTGACCGATCATCGATCGCGAAAGATCAACAAAGCAATATGTAAGTAAATGGACCTGGCGTGGAATGTGTGTACGTGTTCCACTTCTCCCTAATGTCAAGACAGCCAGCACGTTAAAACGTGAGGAACCCTTACAAATTAGTTTCTTGAGATCTCAGCTGAGTCTTTGCGTAAGTGAGTGTCGATGTCTTAGAATCGCCCTTGGTACCGAGATCGACATGTTTGAAATGACGAAAACGTCAATTATTCCTATTTTCTCGTATCAGAAAAATGCGATAATTAGGCAACCTCATTGTTCTCGATCAGTCACTATCAAGAATCGTTCTTTGAAGAGACTCAGGCATTGTAGACGAGGGTAATTTAGATAACTAAGGGCTGATATCAGGGCCTTGCTAAGTATGAGGAAGAGGAAAAATGATGAACACGATTGAACAATCTTACAGCAGAATCTACCTGATAGAACTACTGTAGGATGATCTTACAAATTCTGTTATTGATTGCCTGGAATCCTTTTTAGATAGTGGATGCGGGGAAGTGCATACCCTTGTCTCTCGAGCACGGCACAGAGATTAATAGCTAAGACATAGTGGAGACTAAGGTAAGGTACGGTACTCAGCCGATGGCTACACTATAGTACTGCACATTGCACCTCGCAGCGCGGACAGAATGTTGACTGTAATGCATTTACATGCCAGCTGTCAGAATAAGCGATGGCCAATTCTTTTTACTGGTTGGGCTAGCGCGTGGTTAAATGAGACGATAATGCCCTCCCCAGCTTAGCTAAATCAATTCACGGCTCAGATGAAGGGAGATTATGTGCCGTGTCTCATCTCATCTTTAGAATAGTTCAAAATACCTCAGTCATTTTGCCACTCTTGCAAAGACCCCTGTTTCGAGGGTAATATTGAAACACTTTGTCATGTCTAAGATATGTGCTTACATTCTCCTATATAACGAGTGACGTACTGAGATAACAAATTCCAGCGTTGATCTTAAGAGTTTTGCTAGTCACGTAGTTGACTAGTGGTGAGACTACGTGAGAACGGTGGCGTAAGCTGGGCAATATGGTAGAAAACACGATACAATTGTAAGACAAGCTTTCATTGCAATGCATGCTCGAGAATTCTCAAACGGGGTTATCGATTAGTAGAACCTGGCCCACGAGTACCAAAATATTCCTCTACAATCCAGCTTTCATCCCCCAGTTTGCAACTACTGGTCTCGCTGGAATAACACCCGAGACCATTTCTGGCATTAAGTAAGGGCCCCCATAACTGTGTTGATAGCTTTGTACTCCAGCTTAATCCTTCGTTATTTGCCTTCGTTCACCACGTCGCCTTTCACAAAGCATAAAAGCCAAAAGAATAACATAACATCTCCAAGTCGCCTAGTATGTCGGGTGCTCTGAGAGTCGTGCCTGACCTTTCTCCAAGCTCTGTTGCAGTCATCCAAGCACATCGCAATAGTCATGGTCAGGTAGTTAGGCTCTCAGCCATTGATCAGATCGCACCCAGAGACTATATATCAACTTGTCTCTTCTTTCGACACAGCCCCAATGCAGACAAGCAGCAGGTCTTTCTTGCTCTGCATAGAGCTCTTTTGGTGACCGTAAACGACATTCCTGAGCTTACATGCTGTGTGCAAAGGCGTGTTGACAGCACTCGAGAAGAGGTTGAGCTTGTCTTTGACTCTGCCAGAGGCGTTGAGATTTACTATAAAGACTACAATTCTACTCAGCTGTGTGGTCTATGGACCTACGGCAATTTTGACCAGCTTGAGGAGGAGCATTTTCCACATAGCAAAATACCCAGGAGCCTTGTTTTTGGACCTTCAGTAAAGCTAAAAGACAATGTCAAGCTTCCTTCTCTTATCGTGCAAGCCAGCTTCATCCCTGGGGGTCTCATTATTGGGAGTCAGTTGCATGTAAGTTTCTGCCTTCAAAGATGCTAGGACGTAGACTGACAAATCAATAGCATGTTGCTGGAGACGGCCAATGCAACTTCATGCTTTGGTCCACAATAGGAGCGCATTTTGCCGCCGCAACTTGTGAACCATCCGGCCAACAAAGATCACCAGTTCAATTGCTTGACAGACACGACATCGTCAAGGGCGACCTTAACACAACCCTGAAGGAATTTCCCCATTGGAAACTGGCAGAAGACAACGACAGATTTCTCAATCCTACGAAATACGATTCAGATGAGGTGTTTGAGAGTGCCACTTATTTTATCCCAGCTGATAAGATTGCAATACTCAAAACCCGTACCTTGAGCACTATGCCTTCTACGACCAAGGTTGGAACCGTCGCTGCGTTATGTGCGTTCCTATGGCGTCATGTAGTTCTGGCCAGAGGCATTGACTGTCGAAAATACCCTGAGGCAAAGCTAGCTATTACAGTGGATGCGAGAACCCGTATGAAAAGCCCAGTGATACCGTCTACATATTGGGGCAACTTTGCAGAGCCAAATGCAGTGGCTCAGTTACCTGTAGCTAGTCTGCAAGAAAACTCAATTCTCTCATCATTATCGTCACAGCAGTGTACGAGCACCATCTATGCTCAGGCTGCACTCAAGGTGCAGAAAGCGATAGCTGCAGTGGATGACAAGGCAGTAAGACGACTTGTCGGGCTTTTAAATCAGATGCCGAAGAGCACCACTTTGACCTGGAACGCCAACCGCTATCCGGGTCCAGACATGCTCATAGTGTGCATCCAGCACCATAAGTATAACGATATCAACTTTGGAAAGGATATCGGTTATCCTCTCGCCACAAGAGTTACTGTTGGAGATACGGAAGATAAGCCTGACGGCCGTTGTCTAATTCTACCACCACGGCGTGCTGATTCTAGGGGTCTTGAAATCTTGCTGCAGTATGATAAAAGGACTCTACGAAGGCTCAAGGATAATGTTGAATTTTCAGAGTATTTCACGAGAAGAAATTAGTCGGGGCTATTCATTTACTAAATCAAGTGTGTTTCAGACAGAAAACCAGTCATTGTTTCCGTAAGTTTGGAGGCTTATGCCTCACTAACTACGTTAATTTCCGAAACCCCCGTGCCAAAGAGAGCGAAGCACCTTTTTCTTACTCATATAGTCTCTTAGTCTAGTCCAAGACCCATGTCACGGTTTGCCGTGCGGCACCTATGATTGCTCCATCGCCAGCCAGCTCGTGCGACACAGGTGAACCTCCTGAACCATTGTTTTGGCTTTGTCAGCATTTTCTGGTATGCATAACACCGCCGCAGCGTAGAGAAGAGTAGCTTAACTTGATGCGGGCTGATATGAGGCTGAGCAAGTTAGCGAGGAGGCCTTGAAAGCGGACGTCTTGATACACCACGGGTCGCTTGAGTTTTGTCTCATAATACCAAAGATTACCGTATTTTCTATATTTTCAAGCCACTTGTACTCTTCTGGCATTCACTTACCATCCAGCACGTCAATTAGCTCGTGGAGCATCGTCATCTGATGAATAAGCCCAATCTGACATGGGTTATCTATTCAGCCCCCAAACAACCCCACTCGTGTCAGCTCACAATATTCAGCGTAACGAGATATTTTAAGCCTATGCAACTTTCTTCCGTTAACACCACGGTATTTCACTTTCGCGATCATGTTATGTGCAGTATGCACATCTATGTTCCAAACTAGAGAGAAGCAAGGTCTTCACCACAAGGATTATAAAAGTGTTGCTACTGCTGGAAAGAATGGGTGCCGAATCTGCGGCTACTTAAGCCACACGCTCGCAAGTGAGAATTCAAAGCCTCTAGAATATGATATCAGGTGGGAAAACTCATGGGAGCTTCATTGGGAAATTAACTTCTACGAGACTGGCCGCGAGACTCCAGTCGATGTTGACAAGCCCCCGGTCTACTCACACTGGTGCGTTTTCGTTGATGTTTCCTCGTCGTCAAAGCCTCCAGCTGGTTACGAGAAGTTTCTTGATTGTGTAGCTACTGACCGAGACTCGGAGCCTACGCGGGTCCGGACGGAATTTCCTCCGTTGCGAGATATCCCCGAAGATACGGGCCACCAGGATGTTGCACAGCTGGCTAAGAGGTGGCTTCAGACCTGTAAGGACTATCATGATTGCAAATCTGCTTCAGAAAACGGCTGGTATCCCAAGCGGCTCATTCATGTTGGCGATGATCAACAGTCTCCAAAGCTGGTCATTTCGGAGAATGAGAGACCAGAAGGCAGTTATGCGGCATTGAGCCATTGCTGGGGAGAAGATCCAAAGTTCTTAATGTTAAAATCCGACAATCTATTCGACTTTTGCAGAGAAATACAGCTGCAGACCCTTCCAGCCAGTTTCAGAGATGCGATTATAACCTGCCGTCGAATTGGTATTCCCTACATCTGGATCGACTCGCTTTGCATCCTGCAGTCTGGCCTTGGTTCACACGAAGATTGGCTCTCACATTCAGAGGACATGCATCTTGTTTATCAGAACTGCGCCCTGAACATTTCCATCGATGTTTCCGAGAACCCCCATGGAGGTGCTTTCAGGTCGAGGAATCCGACCTATCTACAAGACTGTTATGTCTGGAGTCCGTTCTACGCACCGCCCTATAGTTCAAGCCGGAACGAGCACGATACAGGTGATGGCATAGAAAAACCGGATCTCTGGAACATCTGTGCCATATTTACTGCCGATGACTTCTCTTGGGCAAGAGTAGATCTCCCTCTTAGCAACAGGGCATGGGTATTCCAAGAACGACTCCTTTCACCGAGGACCTTACATTTTGGTTCAGACCGCATTTCATGGGAGTGCGGCAGAAGCAACAATCTCACCGAATATCTACCAGAAGGTGTAAGCGACGATAGATGGCACGGTTTTGATTGCTTGGCCCAAAATGCATTCAGTGTTCGTGAAAAGGCAGATCTCTTCACATATTACTACGACCTTGTGTTTCCGTACACGAACCGTCAACTCAGTCATCCAAATGAAGATAAGCTTGTTGCTTTCGCCGCCGTCGCCCGACGCTGTATCTCATGGTTCGGCAGTGACTACTGCGCTGGACTCTTTCGCAGTACCATGCCACATTGCCTTCTTTGGGAGATGTCTACAGGTGGGCAGTTAGGGAGATCGAAGGCTTACCGCGCACCGTCTTGGAGTTGGGCTAGCTTGGATTGCCGGGTGAGATTCGATCTCTTGACGAACGAAGGAACTGTTCTAGCTAATGTAGTCGACGTTGCGGTGGAGTTGGTTGACCCAAACAACCAATTCGGTCAAGTAAAGTCTGCCTCTTTGACATTGAATGGGCCTCTAGTGGCGTCTGATGAACTCATCCTTAAGGACCCCAGCAATGAAGAGTTCGTGGCTGAAGGTAGACCTGGTCGTGACCGCTATCAAGACATAAAAACTCTACAAGGGCACACCTTCGGTATCAGCGCCGATACTGAGGACTTGTGGGACGAAGGTGAAAGGAAGGCTTGGCTGATATCCCAACAGAACATGTATCTATTGGCAGTTCTGGAGACGCCCGACAAGCCTCATACGCATGGTCTTCTGGTGCAGAAGAATGATGATGGGACTTTCACTAGAGCTGGATACTGGGAGGCAGGGCCGGAATTTGTGTCGAAGCATGCAGATACGACATGTCGGTTTATATCAGAAACAATTATAATAGTCTGAACATGGATATCTTGACGAGTTCACAGGCTATGACATAGCAGAGTTGACATGCTGACTTGATAGTTTGACATAGAGAATCTGTCATAATAGCCGGGCAAACGATTCGGCAAGCGATGATAAGGTTGGTCCCTCAGCAGATAATGGACCGACTAACGGGGAACATTGTAGTGCATATGAAACATGAGGGATTAGCCAACAGGCCAATCGGTTTCTGGAAATATTCCCGAACCCAGTCATTCAGTGGATTCATGCAAACAGCAGAGTCTCAAACCAGAAGGTTGCAATGATGATTGTACGCGAAAGATGGTGTTTCTCTGATCTGGTCAGATGAGGATTATGAAAGATGTACTGATTTGATGTTATTTATGATGATTAGCAGGCGTCAAGTGATATGTCAAATCTCGCCAAGACGAACGGGCGCATACGCCGCATAGGCTTGCGTAATGATACCCTTGTCCACGGATTGCGACAAAGTGGCAATGAGACGTAGAATGCAACGTCCTGGGCTCCATGGTTGAGTGATTGGATCGGCAGAATCCTGCGGCAATGGCAGGGAATAGCCGGTGTAACCTGATCCTTTTGTTGTTCTCAATTTCTATTTCCCCTCAATTGCAAACATGAATCCATGAGACACCGCAATAATGGCTTCACCCAAATCGGACAGCCCAGGCGGAAGTCCTCGCGATGGCGTGAACAAGCAGAATATTTCAGCCGGCAGTTCTCCTGCTGAAGGCCCTATTGTCGCACAGGTACCAAGCACTAAAAGACAATTAGTCACTCCTCGTATTGATGTGTTCAACAGGAGGAAAATGAAGGAGATACCAGCGACTCAGCGTTTGGAGATGATGTGTCAGTGTCTTCTGGATCATGGAAACTCTAGACTAATCCATTCTCTACAGAGAAAGCTCCACTGCCTCCATCTCGTCGAGCATCCTTGAATATCGCAGATTCCAAGGACGAACCTTTCATAGCGAGAGGTACAATACGGAGTACTTTACACCCAACGATGAGCAGCAGAGAGATTCAATTGACATCACGTAAGATCACCATCATATTGGCGGAAAGTACTGACATGAATAGACACCATGTTCTGACACTGCTACTTGATGGAAAATTGACGCTTGTCCCTTTTAAAGATGATATTCAGGTTGGCGGTCCCTTTAGTCGCCGAAACACATCCAGAGACACTGACAAACCAAAGCGAGTACTTGATGTTGGTACTGGAACTGGTATGTAACAAGCCCAAGCTTGAGTACATGGGGACTGACTGTTTCAAGGGATTTGGGCAATGTACTTACCTCTTAAACTCCCTAGTGGGATGCTGATCAGATACTGACTGGTGTAGTGACTTTGCCGATGAACACCCCAACGCCGAGGTCATCGGAACAGACCTCTCTCCCATTCAACCAAGCTGGGTCCCGCCAAACGTCAAGTTCGAGCTCGAAGACGCAACAAAAGACTGGAGCTGGCCTGAGAATCATTTCGATCTCGTGCATGTCCGTTTCCTCATGGGCGCGATAGCAGACTGGGGAACACTGTTCAAAGAGGCTTCTCACTGTTGTATTTCAGGTGGTTTTGTTGAGTCTGGAGAGATCAACCCAACCTTCTTCTCGGATGACGGTAGTATTGACGGCGTTGAGGCTCTTCAGACTTGGAATCAACTGGTGGTTGTGAGTGGTAAGGGCTTTGGAAGAAGTTTCACTAATATTGAGAATGACGTTCAACTATTTCGTGATGCTGGTTTGGTAGATGTGCGAAGCTTTGACTTCAAAGTACCTACCCGACCATCTAGACCTCATAAAAGGCTCAAGCTAACATTATTCAGGTTCCCATCGGCGGATGGCCGAAAGACGAAAAAATGCGAAAGGTCGGCCAGTTCCTCCGAGCTTCCATAGAGAATGACCTCGAAGGTGAGTCAACCTCTTCTGAGCTTGTGATCTAGAGATACTAAAGACTCCAAGGATACACGATGATGGTTTGGCACCAGGTCATGAACTGGCCCGAGGATGAATATCAGGTATTCTTGATGAACATGAGAAAGGCATTCAAGGATAAGAGAGTTCATGGCTACATGCGTGTTCGATATGTCTATGGCCAGAAGCCAGATACGGAGAAATAGTTCTAGACTATCGACTAGTGTCTCGTCATCTTCCTGTAGTCCCAGATAAAAGGATTGTACGAGGGCGGAGCCAGGTTCGGCTAACCTAAGACCTTTGTTTCCTCTTCTTGCAGGATTAAAGTGGAAATCTAAGGCAAGAAAGCTCCGGACCTTGATCCTAAGTGATCAGAATATTTCAGTAGCCTCAGCTCGAAGGACTCTTTACCAACTTTTGTTTTCGTCCCCTACCTTGATCAAGTTTTGAGTTTTCTTGTCATAAGGAATCTCCTGTAACGAGCATGTGCCATGTCTATCACACAAATTCGTACCTGAGCGAGGAGCCTTGCCAACAATTCTTTTCACTAAAAGCGCCCTGTTTTTCGAATGATAATACGGTCATCATCTCTACTCACAAATGCTGGTGGTTGGCCTATTGGTATGCAGTTGGTTCAGGACCCTAAGCTTCCTCCATCGTGTTACAGAAATCCTTCCAAAAGTCACTAAAAGATCGAGAGCCATAACTCAAATTATTGATCTCTCACCTCCTCAAATACTTCGTATTCTATTAGCTGAACAGCCGCTACAGACTCTGTGAGGTTGGCCTAGGAGAACATGCCGCGGACCGAACTGGTTGGTAAGCATATTGCTCTTTTTGCAGTAACACAAAAGAAAACTTGAAATTCATTTTGCACTAGACTATATACGCCTCTTTGAAATCAAAATCCAGAATCGATTAACTGTTGAACTTTCTCGACGCCAGATTTTCTCTCTTCAGCGCAACCGCGTAACTCACAGCAAGCTCTGATTCCGAACTTGAATTTGAACTGGGCGTCCTCTGCCCCGACGTGCTTGTAGTCTCAGACATTAAATCGTCTATTCTACGTGTTAGCAATGTGAAGTTCACTCTTACCCATTCGAGTATTCCTCTTATTGAACTCACAAAGGCGTGCACTGACTTCCTCTAGCCCATCTGTAGTTCCTTTCACATTCGATGATTGACGGTCTCTTCTGTTACAAGACGTGCAGGTCGGCGTTTTGGTACCATCTTCGAGATTGTTAGATCAAACCGTATGCTCAGCTCACTGACTCACCATCATCAAGTTGACCCTCTTCCTCCTGGTCTGGATTCATCTTCGGGTCTTTAGTGTTCGGATGGACCAGAGGATCAATAGTAGCCGCGGTACTGAGGTCTTTGCTGCGAGATTTCGCAGATCTCAGGCGAAGTCGGTTACTCAGAGATAAAAATCCATTTTGTCGTTCCTGGCATTCCAGTATGCTTTGGATCTCGCTCTCTAAAGCCAGCCTCTCCACAATGGCCTTTCCTTCTACCGCCAACTTTCTGGAGCGCTCTTTTGAGGCTTCCAGATCTTTTTCACAGGTATCTAGGTCTGCGGAAAGCTTGGCAGAGAAGCTTTGAAGTTCTTGGAGACGAGCGTGTTGTAGGGACGATAGACTTCCTCCACTAGCCTCCCATGTCTCAAGGATGGTCTTGGCGAAGGATTCCCTAGCCATCTTCTCACTGATACCAGTCTCAAAAGTCGATTGATATATCTGAGAGGTCTCCTTGTCGAAACTCTGCAGCATTGTCAGAAGCTCATGTTCTTCCTGCACGAGCTGGCTTGCATCCACCATCTCGTCCTTCAACTCGGGCTTGTTGGTGTGGTCTGGAGTAAATCCAATGCCTTTAAACCGAAGAAAGCATTGAATGAGGACCATAGCAACATTCTCTGGAACGCCAATCTGGCTCATCATTTCATCTTTGCACTCCTTCGAGGGAGTTACTAACAATCTTATGACGTATGATATGAAGTTCGCCGTAATCGTCGGATACTGATCCAGTGGTAGTTTGGTGTCGTTCAAGGTTCTCGTTATTAAGACTAGGTTCAGTTTCCCTTCCAGTCTCCTCATCTCAGAAGATGCCAAGAGTTGCAGACAAGGGAGTTCCAAGTCAACTGCGGCAGCATGAGCTTCAAAAGCAGTGGCAAGCTCTGAGCAGTTTTTTTCGTCTTCCGTTTCTCCTTCGGGTTTGAGGCACTGGTATTTATTGGTGATTAGATAATGAATTATTATGTGCCCAACTGAGAACGGGTATTCTTCGATATTGACCATGTCGAGTGGTTTGGAGAAGATGTGTTTCTTGTCTAGCCGTGCAGCAAGTTTTGGGCATTTTTTGAGGATCGTTCTAGGGATTATAAGGGGCCCTTGGGATCGGAAGAGGATATGACAAACATCCCCGGTGTATTGGCTTGTCCCTTTGTTAGTGTCTCGGCTAGTTTGTAGTGTATGTCACAGCACGTACGACTGTTCTGGGGACTTCATATCGCTTTGATCCATGACTTTTACGTGTTTGTTTCTTTTTGGTGCCGATGAATTCCAAAGAAACAAAATGAGGGGTAAACATGCGTTATCTGCTGATGAACATTCTTATCGTGTTGATGTTGTCTATGACGCGTTCTGGTAGGCCTCCCTGGTAGGCCTCCCGCATCACCAAAGGCGCCTATGCTGATCAGTAATTGGAATCACATTAGAGACCCTTGTACTAGGTACAAAAAGGATTTTGAAATTCATGGTGTCAAATGGTCCAATGCTGTTGTCGGATGTCTATCCACCTGGCCCCGAGACTGAAGTCTCCAACTTTCATTCATGCCCAAGATTTCTACAACTGTTAACCCTACTCAATCTCTTATGTTCTGACTGGATCGGTCTCGGGAATTGGCTGAAGTGCACATTTACTTTCCAGGCAAAAGCGAGGCCCAGTTACGCCTCCTAATCACTTGACATATTGGCAAATCGAAAGACTTGAATAATGCGGCCCGTATTAGCAAAGCGGTGCCTGTACCTTCGACACGCCCCAAACGATATGCTCGGCAGCCTTGATAAAGTTTGAGATGCTATTTCTTTAATTAACGAATTTTGTTCCTCAAAGCACACATCTTGGGCATCACATTTCACAATACTTAATTAATTGCATCAAGGTCAAGCAATAGAGTGTAATTTCCAATCTGCAAACTACTAGGCGATAAAGGAGGACTTTATCTCCACTGCAGTGATTTGCAATAACTAAGAACTGATGTAGATTCATTATCCTGAAACCCTGATATCTCAAGCCAATGGATCCTCTAACCTGCATATGACATGCAACGCCCATCAAAGCTCAAACACCAGGACTAGTCACTAGCAGGCAGTGTTGCTACCAACTGTCGTACGCATAGAGGAGATTCATCCTTTCTGCATGACGCGGATCCTCTGGGTTTGGTGTTACAGTAGGTAGAGTCTCCGAGTCGACAAGCACTCCATAATCATCGGAATCCACGAGACTAGTAGTCTCTGTCTTTTGGGATTGCTCGGTCTCGGACTTGGGTACCTCCCAGTCAGCAGCAGACGATTTCTCAGGCGCTAAACGGTTAGCTAGCTGCAATAAAAGCATTCGATCATGTATTCACTTACCAATAAAGCTTTTCATGGTTCTGATGGACTTCCCAAGTTCAGGGATAGCGGGGGATGCCTTTTCAGCATCAGCACACCCGCCGCAAGGAGGCGAAAATGGACAACACCAGCCTCTCACCTTTGAAGGCCCAGATCGAGCTTCCTCTTGTCCCTTTGCACCACCAGACTTATTGTCAAAAACAGATGTTGCGGAGGCCTTGGACGCATGTTCTTCCGGTTTGGACACGTCTCGTGCCTTTCCTTTATAATCGGGCTGCGGGTTCTCAGGAAATTTCTGAGGCTGTTGAGTTCGAAGGTGGAACGGAAGTTTCGCCGGTTCAGGCTCTCTTGTGGCAAAACCCCAAGAAGTGTGCTGCTTTTGTCTCGAAAGGAAGTTAGGCATACCTCGGGCTTCATTTCCAGGTGTAGGCTTCGCTTTGGGTTCACTTGTTGGCTCAGCTCGGGCAATCATGAGCAACTTTCGCAAAAGTATGTCTGTGATGCTGTTTGAAGTAGCCCGGCTCAGCATAGTAGATGCCAATGGACTGTGAGGGAACGCAAGCACTTTTTCAAGCTGTAATGAGATGTGTTGTGTAAGTTCGGGGACGTTGTTATAGTCGATATTCATCTTTCCCAAAATGGAAATAAGATTCAAGAGATTCATTTCATGGCAGACACGCGCGCACTGCTTCTTGGCCAGGTCTACCAAATCAGGCAGTTTCATCTTCCTAGCGGCTTCAATGACCTGCAGCGATACCTTGAGCTCATAGCCCTTCTCCGTATCGCCATATATGCCCGAGGGCTTGATGTACTTGTACTGCTTGGTGTAAAAGAAATTGATGATCACGTGGGCTGTATCATATCCAATTTCCTGCAAATCCACGGTCGGCGTGGCCGAGCTGTATGCAGGGTCTTGCGTACTCTTGTTGGACGGAACATGGTCTGGGACGACTCCTCTGTGGATCCAGGTGATCGACTTTCCCTTTAACAGAACCTTGAAAAAGTTGTTTGCGTAGGGTCTAGATGTTTGTTAGTTTAGAAAGATGCATGTTAGTTCATAATACTTACGACGCAGTGAACTGAGCGGGCGAATCAGACATGGTGGTTGGATCTTGCGACATGAGGCTCAACTCATTACCTATCGAGCTTAGCAAGAAAAGGATGATGATGATAAAAAGAAGAGGTTGGCGAGGGCACTGACGGGGGCGATTTGTGGAATTTATATGCGTGGTAAGATTTCTCGTATTAAGTGATGGAAGCTTAATACACCACCTACGAAATGTAAATTATCTCTCCCATAAAATGATTAGAACACCCAATCATATCGTAGGCTGGGTGGTGATGACTTTTGACACGCACCTCTGATGAACTATGCTGCCAAAAGACTTTTGAAAGGCGAAGCCACGTACGAATATCTGAAACTCAAACGCCGACTGGATGGGCTGACCTTTCCAGCAGATTCGATAGTTTGAGGTGTCAAAACTATGAGTCTTATGTGCCCATTGTGCTGGGGCGTCAAACTTTGTCACCTCTTTGAAGAAGATTCTGCTTTCAGCTACAGGTTTCACTTCAAAGACAGTTAGTGACAGTGACATTTGATTTGATATAACGATGGAAATAGGTTTCACTAGGGTTCTTCGTCCTACGTCACTCGATGAGGCACAGAATCTCTTGATGCATGAATTCCAATGCTTAGGTTTTCCCTCTCCTTGCATTATCAAGACCATTGTGTAAAGTCGAGGCTTATTTACCTATCACCTCAAGTTGTAGTTTATTCTTTTCAAGACTTGTGTGTTTTATTGTCTGGCTGTATCATATTCACCACTATTTTCACAGTCAATCTGCGACATAAAGATCGACAGTTACCAGATCTACCAGAATAAAGCAAGGGAGATTCTAACAGAAAGCAGTAAAAAGACCAAATACAACCTTCCACTTATAAATCCATCTCCATGATAGGCTCCGATTCCAACTTTCCCATCAAAGCAATACAATCTGTATATAGAGTCTCTCTAACCAGGCCTTAAGGAATATGTCCAAGGAACGTAGTCATATTCAGATGAACCCGTATCCCAATCCATCGGTCCTACAACTTCAACAGGGTCGCCTTCCAAGGTATCCGACGAAGATTCAGAGTGCAAAGACTCGTCAAAGGAGGTCACCGTGACCTCGGGTAGATTCAGGACGGATCCAATTTGTACTGGTCGATCGGAAGCTTCTGTAGCGCCATCTTGAGTATCGTCATCTTTTTCCGTAGCTGTTTCTGACAAAGGTTCGCCTGATGTAGTTGAAGGGCCAGGGGTCTGACTCTCGCTTGATGCATCGTGTTTTCCCTGCGACCAGTTCATTCCAAAAGCGTCCAGCGCAATTATTTCTCGCTCTTGTTGCATCTGCGACAGGGTACTCTCAAAAGCCATCTGCGCCGTTCGCGGTCGATCTTGTTCCCTCTGCGGCCTCACCTCAGACATCATCCGCTGTATGTGCTGTAGGTCTCCATAGTCTTCATTGCTGGATTGTTCATCATCAGTATCGCCGTCGTTGTCCATAGCTTCTTGCGACAAAGGTTCGCCTGATGTAGTTAAAGGGCCGGGAGCTGGACTTTCATTCGATGCATCGTGTTTCCTCTGCAGGCAGTTCGTCTCATAAGCCATGTGCGCCATTTGGTGTCGCTCTTGCTTGCTTATGAGTGGAATATTTTGCTCTTGGCGTTGCAAAGCCTTCATTTTCCATTCCCCATCAATCTGTGTCTCCATACCGCGAGCGTAGGGAACGTTTTTATGTCTCGAAGTCGTCGATTGATCTTTGAATGCCGGGCGGGGCACAGTTTCATTGCTTCTTGGAACCAAAGGAGGGAGAGTTATCGGAAGGGGGGCAAACGCGGGCCTGCTAGGAGGATGAAAAGTTGGTTCGGGGGCTCCCTGAAATGGCCATCGGGGAGAGTTTTCCACTCCATTTTTGTCTTTTTGCTGGGCCGTGGGACCGAAGAATTGAGTAGCAACTGACTTTCTCTTTCCCGCGATCTCACTCTTCGGTTTTATCCACCTCGTTTCGGGACACTTGTCATCTTCCCAGCCAATATACTGGGAAATAGCTGCTGCCTCGGCGACCTTCCGTCTATAGACCTCGCCTATGATGGAGTTCTTTTCATCCGAATTGCATCCGACGTCGCTAATCTCTACGATTGCCTTCAAGAGCATCTGAGCAACTGAGAGTGATGGTTCGGTCTTTAGTTTGGCAAAAGCCCTTTGGCTATCTCCCACGCCGTAGTCCAGAGCGGAACCAACCAGTCGCTTCTCCAAGTACTCGGAAAACTCTGGAAACAAGTCAGAACGGTAGTTCGCTTCTTCAAGGAGCTTGAAAAGTTCCATCAGACCCATGTCTAGAGCCCTGTAGAAGATCTCCGTCTCGCAATCCATTTTAAGGTCGTCCATGTTAAACCTGTTTGCAACACTCTGTAAGTGAATAAGGCTTTTGAATTCCTCATTTTGCCTCTTCTCGGGGAGATTGTGTTGGAAATTAAATATCCCAAATGTGAGATAGTCCCCCAACAGGTGTCCAGCACCTTGTGACACAGCGCGCAAGCTGAGGTAAAAAGGTCCGGGATTCCCGCAGTAGGAATCTTTCACACCATGGTAAGTGTGGTTGTAGATATACGATGGTACGTGACTGGTGACCAGCCTGTAAAGCAGCGGGTACTTCTGGATCTTTCCCAACTGGACGTGGAATACCATTTGCCCCTCAACTTCGATAGCGACTGGGTGATATGTCCCGACCCGCCAGGGTACAGACAATGACATGTCCATGATCAAGCAAATAGACTTGGTGTTTTCGTTTGTTTGGCGAATTTGTTCACGTGGTATGGTGAGGGTATGATGTGGATGAAAAGAGAAGGGAAGGTAACCAGCTGTTGCACGGGACATGGCATGACATAAATACCTCGATGTTGATATTTTGACTCTCCTCTTACAGCTTGACTTTGAATCAGAGTTCTGAGACGCCATTGCCTGCCTTTCTCATTATGAGGTGGCCTCTAGCTCACAAAAGGCTATTAAGCTAGAAGAACAAATCATGAACCGCCACGCATGGGATGGCTTGACTCTGAATTTGACTGTGAAAAAGTCTGTCTGTTCGAAGTTTGGGCACCCTTTAGCCACTGGAGTAAGAGTGAGCCCATGAAAGCCAAAATCAGGCGGTAACCAATAACATTAAAATGGAGCAATTACAGTTCCTTTTTATGAGGGATAAATTCATTTGAGCCAATAGACATGAATCATCATTCTCTCTGGTATGCTCTCGCTTACTGGGAACCTTCCTTTCGCACAACCCTTTTCTTCCGCGCCACCTTACGATAAGAATAAGCCAATCCATGTTATACGTAGCCATTTCAGAGGGGCTAGGTTATTTTAGAAATTATTCCTGACTTAGTAGTGGTCTCGCATTTCTGTGTGCAAACTGTGTCTGTCTTTTTGAGTGCCCTATGGAAGACCCCGGTCACGTGCATCAGCAGCGACAAACCCACCGGATGAGTAATTGAGCCAACATCGCTACCACACCCTCAGCAGCAAAGCGGAACATTAACAGTTTTCATTTACGACTACATGATTTCGCTTGTTCTCTTTGAGCTCAACTGGGCTTATTCTTAGAATTTCTTGCTCTGTTGTGTTCTGGCATGAAGTGCTTTGCTCTCGCTGAACAAAGTCAAACTTCGTCCTAGTCACGTGCTTCCCATGGGGCAAGCGGATCAGATTCACGACAGTCACGATAGCAAGCGAGCTGTGAGCAAGGGGAGATTCGATGTATTCCGAGTTGGCCATTGATACCTTTCATAACAGGCTACTCTAATCCCCACATGTAATCCTGTTGACCTCGAATCCACCATTCCTTCCGCAATCCCGCGTTTCGTGAAAACCCTATCACCAGTCGTAGCATGGTTCGTCCTCTGGGTCGTCCAGGCTGTAGTCAGGTGTGAACTGAGTTGTCGAGCCGCTATCGCTGACAGTCTCAATGTCGCATTGGTTACGTCGCTCGAAAGTCTCGGGCTCGGGAGTCTGGTCCATAGTCCCAGCGCGGGTGGCGTAGGGGTGAGCAGAAGCTACAGCTGTTAATGTCTGCAACTTGGGAATAGTATGGAGAGCGGGCAATGGATCTTACTAGTAGAATAACAGAGCTCACTGACTCTCCCATCTTTCATTCCGATCTGCAACCAGCTGGGACTGGTTAGATGTTCCTCGGCGGGTTGTTGACCACGGATTTCAACTTCGCGAGCCTCTTTCTCTCTGAGTCCCCGGTCATTCTTCCTACGAGCAAGAACGTCGAGGCGATTCTGCTGCCTGCGGGTGAGCTTCTTTCTCTTTGAGCGCTTTTGCTGGAGGTCTCGTAGTTCTTCAGCCTCGCGAGCCAGTGCAAGCTCTTCAGCTTGTCGAGCAGCCTCCTTTTCCACATTCTGGGCTGTTTGCTCTTCAGCTTGTTTCATGGCAGCCTCAGCCGGGCGCAGTACGATAGCGGGATATCCTGAGGTAGTACGCTGATAGTTCGGTTCTTCCTGCTGACGGCTTTCTGAGGCCTTTGTGAGGATGATACTTCGCAGTAAGACCTTGCTAAGAGAGTTGGAAGCTCCCATCATATCCAGGATAATGTCGGCGCCGCTCTCGCCATCGGGGATGACGTTCTGATTGAACGATAGAACTCGTGATTCGATGTACGTGGCAATTGCAGGATTTTCATCAAAGGTCAATGCAGCCTCTTCCATGACCGCAATCAAGACAGGAAGACTGAGCTGATCGCCCAGACGAACTAGCTCCGCTCGAGTCATTTCGCGGAGTCGGGGCAAGCTCAGAATACCGGTAGCGACATAGACGCGAATAGCAGTCGCGAGTTCGGCTGAAATTCTCTCATCGTGTTTCTCTTCCAGTGGCTGGAGGCATTCGTAGGTACCCGTGACGAGATAGTGAATGATGACATGCCCTGCATCGAACGTGATGTCGTCTAGCCGCAGACTGGACAGAAGAGGAAGATGACCGTCATGTCGGAACTCTCCAGCTTCCTTCAAACCCTCACTCAGGAGCGATTGAGGGATGTGTAGAGGAGTCGCGCCCGAGAAGTAAACGGCACAGGAACCACTCGCATAGGGCCTGCTCGAGTGGTCAGTCAAGGTCCGTTTCGGATACCCAAGTACTCACGAGTATGTTGGTCTGGCGTCGCCATGTTCCGCCATCTTGCACAGAGTTTGTCGATTGGCGAAAGGATGAGGAAACGCGCCAGCGCAGAGTTGCGAGATGAAAGAGAGAAGAAATGCGAGAGAGGGAGAGGCAGATCTCGAGAGACTGCGCTTGGCCCTAGCGCTGATGGAGCTCGTTAATCAGACTCGGTTTCACAAGGCTGCTTAACCCTGCCTGGCAGTGCCGGTGTCATAACAAGCGGGTACCTCGCAACGACGGGAGTCTGACCAATTGTTCAACTCTTTGTTTTGCTAAATCATGACTCCACTTGAGACCAAGACATGGCATCTTTAGACATTTCAAGCTGGCTATCACGATCAGTTTACAATCATTGTCACATGCCATACAACAAACATCTCTGCCGGTAAATTAAATGCATTATCATTATCATTTCTCGCTTGCTAGTAAACAGGGCTCCAATAACTCTCGCTCTAATATCCATAAAAACATGTATCTCGCAAGTCATCTTCCAAGAGGTGATAGACATGTACTCAACGAGTGTAGAATAATTTTAACAATTTATGTTGAAAGACAAGTGATTGTTTTCTGCGTGTGATGCGTGGTCCCAGATCACTGGGCTGACTCGTTGTAATTTTGTGACCGAGTTGCTGCATGGGCATCTCTGATGTGGGGACGGAGAAGGGTAGAGAGATTTGAAGATATTGACTCTTGTGTCGCCTCTGGCTACAGCTGTAATGACTGTCAGGCTGAGTCGTAATGTGTATCAACAGGGTTAATGGAGAGTGTTGTATGTGTGTGTGATGTAGTAGTCGAGCCAGAAGAAGGTATGGATGCTGCCCGATGTAGACACCCATCCTGCACCCTTGTCTCACTCCCAAACGCGAGAAGGGGTAGAAACAGTTCCAGCTGCATGTGGTATCGTCGGAAATGAGATGCCAAGTTTCATGCTTGGAGGAGACTTGTTGTACTTTCGTCATGCTCAAGATGATCTGATGAAATAGGTAAAACTGATAGTAAAAATGCACTTATCACTCGGGGCTGGTTTCTCCTTATTGCGGGTGCCGATCTTCTGGCTACTGTTGTTGCTTCCGACCATGGCGCGCATGACTTTTCCACACTTGATCTGGGCACTTGGGATCCAGTGATTGAATGGAGTCAGAGAATACTCCACGACGTCATCGTCTTCAGGATACATCTGCTCGCTTTCTTGTGCCATTTCTTGGAGAGACGCCAGATATTCTGTCAATTCCGGCACAAGGGTTGGAGCGGTCTGGTTAACCATACGCCAGCCTCGGTCTAGAGCTGGTCCCTGGGCCTTCTGCATAAGCTGTAGTATCGACCATAAGCCGCCCACTGTTTCTGGAGGTTGCACATGCAAGAGAGTTTCTGTCGCCTGTTGTCTTGTTGTGCTCTCCAGGACCTCGTCGGTGTAATCGTCGATTCGGTGGATAATGCCGGTGATATGCTTCATCGCCAGGGGAGTATCAACAGTCATACTCAGTCTCCAGACAGGGTTTATAAGCTTGGCCAGCTTGACGACATGATTCCTGGCTAGCAAAACTAGGTCATAGATGTTGTACATGCGTCCGAGAGCCCAGGCCATGAGTGCAGTCTTGTAATCGCTCGAAGCTATTTCCTCGTCTTGCTCTGCGGTCTCGTAGTCAACTTCATAGGTGTGTGACACTATGTAGTTTATAAAGACGCAACCAGTGTAGTCGTCTATGCCTTCCATCTCGTATTCATCCTTGTCCTTAAATAGTGAAAGGAGGCTTCCAGTATTCGTGATGAAAGAACTGGGGATGTTGTATGTCGTAGTGACAAAGTGAAATTGGTAGCATTTGCCAAGTTGGCGTTCGGTAGTCATGATGGCGAATGAAAAGAAAAATCTGAATTTGAGAGAATGGAATGGGATGTACAGAGAGAAAATTATCCAGTTCTGCAGAAGGGGAAGACGTTCACTTAAATAGACAACAGAACAGAGTTCAACAACGCACATCAGTCGCTTTGCAGTGACCACTGTCAAAGTCTGATCAAGCTTCTGGCTTTAAGGCAACATGCTAAGCCCTAATTCGTGAGTGTGCATGACATACTTTGCCATGACTCACTCAAGTAGAGATAAAGGTGTAACAAGGTTCTGGCACTGGCAACCCATCATTGGCTGTCAACTAACCTTCACATCGCCTCCCAATACATAGCATGGCTTTATACTTTTAAAAAGAAAGCATGAGCGAGAATTCAGATGAGACACCACGGTAATGAGTCTCTTTGGGCACGCAAGGATGTAGATATCAGCACACAGATACCCGTTCACGAATCGAAGTCAAAACCTACGGATAAAGGTTTTACAAATCAGGAGAAAGGCCAGACCACAGATAAGCTTTTCTCGTTCTTATCCACATAAAAATGTTGGTTTGACTTCTCGTACTCTTACTGCACTTGAGCCTCAAAGTATGGCTAGTCGGATTATGACGATACGAGAACACCCAATCATTTGAGCAGGGCCTGCACTCAGAAAAGGTTGATAGAATAACCTCAAACTTGGTGACTTCTTACGAGCAGTTAAATCGCCAGCCTTCTGGTGCGTTAGATTTCAGCTCCTGGACTATCACGGCGACACGCAGCCTTCCTCCTCTAATTTGTTGACAAAGAGTTTGGTCTGTCTCAATCAGATAGCACGTATCACCGTGGTCCAAGTTAGCATCAGATATTCACGAAAGAAGGTACACGGTGGAACATTTTGGGTGAGACTAAGACAGCTATACTCATATACTAGAAACATTTCGGTTCGGTGTGACGATACATAAAGAAAATATTGTTACATATTTCATCTAACATGCAAAAAGCTTCCCGTCAGACCCTCTCCATTGTTATCCCCCCCACCCTACCCTAAGTCAGCACGACTGCCTTTGACGCCGGTTCCAGATCAAGATGGCTTCCCTCGAATATCCTTCTGAAGTACGTGCTGTATTTGGTATTGTACTCGAGCACAATATCCTTTGAGGTGTGCGTTTCCTCTCGGACCGGCGCGTGTAAGAGAAGAGGGAACAAGCAGGCTTTGATGGTGTTATTTTCACGATCCGAAAACATGCACCGCTCCATACGCGTATCGTCGAAGGTTTCATCAGGCTCATAGTAGAAGTACTTGAGTCGCGTGGTGGTTAATGTGAGTTCGAGCTTGAAATCCAGCGCCTCTTCGAGAAATGATCTGAAATCGACATCTGGCCTCGACACTTCTCCCCCGTCTTCGGTTCCACCATTTGGAGGCACCCAGAAGAAATCCAAGTGTTTGTAAAGGATACGCTCCAGTTCATCAACCTTTCTTTTGATGATTTCGGTTTTATGCTCGACGATGAGTTGTGGGAGAACATCCCTGTCTGCTTTATGAAGCTCATTGGGGCCCGCTGGATCATGAATTAGCCCCTATCCTCATAAATGCTACAAGCACTTACAAATATGGAGTATGAGTTCTCGATAGGCTTCCGCCACAGGATTGGGTGCTTGAATGAATGCTGGGAAGGCTGGCTCGAAGATCATTTCGATAACTGCTGAACCTACCAGTCCTAGGAGCAACTTTTCTAGCAATAGCTTGGACTCTCTGACTTGAGAAATGCAATCCTTTAATTCTCGTCTAAAGGTATTAAGAGCCCAAGACTCGACGAGATCGCTGTGGGAGTCTTGCTCTTCCGGTGCTTCCGAGTTATCTCGGCAAGCGATGGCACAGGCATTTTGCATAAACGAAAACAAACCCAAGTACATATCTGAGATTTCTTTCGAACTCAAACCTGGATTATTGGGATTGAAGTTTCTGATGCGTAGGGCCCTCATGTGCGACCTTTGCATATATTCCTGAAGTGTGTTTAGCACGACGGCGTCGGGTTTGTAATGTTCCGCTAGGTCTCTCTTGAGCCGTCCATTTTCGATCTCCGAAGCAATTAGCCGGGTTTCTATTTCCACTATGTCTCTTCTATCGGGTGGTAGGGGATCGACAAAACCTCTCTTTGGGGATTGGTTTTCGACAAGTTGGTCTGTCGAGCCGAGGGGTGATGAAGCTTGGGATGGCTGTTGCTCTGCTATTGGTTGACCGGCGTCCACGGAGGAGCCTTGATCAACTAGGCCGGTGGTTTTTGTCCCTTCTTCATTTGGTAATATCTATAGCCGGATGTTCGTCAGCACGGGATGAGAAAAGAGTGGCAGTATTGACTTGACGCGGTCGAACTCACGGCTTTCAATTTCTCTGAAGAGACCAAGAAAGTCACTAAGAGTCTCTTGAGGCAGCATTTCGCACGTGCGTCGTCTTTAGACTGGCCAGTGCTACTGTCGGGTATACAGTTCAAGAACTGATCGACTTTCCTCGACAAGTCCTCTGGTAGGTTCAACGAATCGAGGCCAGATTCAAACAAGTTGGCATAGTCATCTTCGCCTTCCATCTGGCCATGCTGGCTTAATATATGCTGCAGCTGCTTCTTCGCCTGTTCATCGGTGAAGGCTCTTTGAACGGTGTCTTGGAATTTGGGAAATGCGGTAGTCCAGAAATCAACGCCATTGCTGAAGCTCCATTGGAAGTGGGCTAGAAGCTGACAGGTCTCGTCATGTTCCCATATCCTCTGCTGCCTTTGTTGCCTTCCACCAGGCACGCGCTTCTCTTCAGATTTCTTCCTCGGGGGGTTATCTGCGTACTGGACTGTCTTGGTCCTTTTTCTTAGGTTGTACGGCCCCTCGCTGGCTCTTTTTGGGCAGCGTGGAGCGTTTGGATCCATTGTGCTGAGGATATCCAGTAAGTTGTGAATTTGTGAAGTTGTAAAGTTGTAAAGGTAACGGTTGGAATGAATTCGGTGAATGGTTCTTTGGCTTTGTTGACAAACACGAGTTTGTTGGTTCCTTTGTTTGACGAATGCGCGTGGCGTTTCTTTGTTTGATACCTAGGCACCGATGCGTCCTGGGCTCTTCGGATACTTGCATAGGTAATTGCAACCACGCTAGAAGAACAACCAGTGAATTGACAGATATGATCACACCTACAGACATGAAAGACTCTGACAAACAGCAGATCAAACTACCGACGCGAAGATGTAAAGCCGAGACGTCATATGCCCTTCACGTATGTTAGTTGCATATGGAATAAGTTGGGTACTTTCTATGAGGTACAATCAAATTATATACATTCACAAAATTGACAATGGTTTTTCTTTACCAGCAAATGATAGTGCAAGCCATACTGCGGTTTGTTTTTGACTTGTTTGGATTCCGGTGAATCATCAATGTGCAAACTGTACGACGATACCTCAAGCAGCATTTGCACGCTTGTCCCATACAGAATAAGGCAGCCATCGCTAAGACATATTTAACCTCTATCCTTATTTTTTTTATATCTTGTTCACTTCTTCCTTTCTCTAAAACCCTTCCCTCTCACTAACAACACCACAATGCCTTCTCTTCAGGCCCCGAGTAAACTTGTCGTTGCTATTTACTTCGGCGAGACAAACTCTTCCGTTTCTTACGCTTTTCTTCCTGGAGGAATCCACCCAGAAAGCCCCCATCAGGCTGTCAGGACAGTTCAGAGTTACCCGTATGAAATATCTATGCAAAGAGGGAATCCTATGTCCCTGTAAGTCCCAACACTGATGCGGTACCCTAACAACTGGGAATTTCGATCTCTCGATGAGCTAAGGAGAGAACCACCAGGTACTAGTCGTTCGGTGAAGGGCCAGGTACAATGGGGATTCCAAGTACAACAACACATGGCAAAGGTCATGTCGCACTCGGATAGTACACACTCTCTGCTGTATGGGTTCAAGAATCTTATAAATCAATCAGAAAATCACGAGATTCAGAACCGCCATCTCATCGAAACCCTTCACCGGCTATCCAAGAATGGTTCTTGCTCAAGGGAGATCTCCGTTCAAGAGATAGTGCTCTTGGTGACTATTAACTACTTAACGAACTTGCTTAGTCACGCCAAGACTGAGATTACAGAGAGCACTATTATTACATTTACTATAGGATAACTGCGGCCTATAAGGTTAAGCT